CAAGCTGCTCAGGGCTGACTTTTCTTAATCATCGCTGAAGCCGAGGATCAAATTTAAAAATGAGCAGCGTTTTCAGGTCGCTTGAGTACTACAAACTCTGGAACTACAAACTAAGACCGAGCACCCCGCTAAAAGCTGCAGGAAGGCCAGCAAGAAGCCACGACACCCTTTGTGACGAGTCTGGCAAGTTTTGCAAAGCTATTTGTCGGCACATGCTTTGCTCACCCCGAGATGACTCTTGTTACGCATGCAAAGTTGCTAATTAGCACGAACCGCGGCCGGTTGCGACGCCAAGTTAACACGGAGACGTTTACTGCACACTTCAGCCCGATCCCCACAACTTTTGGGGGGCCAGAAGAACTCAGAAGGGATATTTTTGGGAACGGACACTCCCTCCTAGACTGCTTGATGAGGGTACTGAACCCCACGTTTCTGCACAGCCAAGGAGAGAACCACCGCTGAAAAACAACTTCCACTTTCCGCATCGTGAATCTTTTGTGTACCTTGGCTCGCTACAGAAAAGGAGAAGGTTTCATTCATCACTTGGCTTTGCACCTCATCACTGCCACATCTTTAAGATCCCTTACGATTACACAGCAGGCTCAGCCAACGGAGTAAGGAGTTGTCTTCTTTAGGAAAACACCCTGGCTGTGGTGACACTGCTCCTGAAAAAAACTCACTGTGATTTGTGGGTACAGATGACAAAAGGGATTTAAGCTGAAGGAAGAAATCTCACGCAAAAAGGGAGAGCTGAAGGTGCACGTTAAATTATTGCCTCTTTCATGTATGCTTACAATGGATTTCAACACAACTCGCTGTCCAAACAAAGCCGAGGAAACCACACAACCGTGTGCCACCAGCCGAGCTGGCACATTCAGAGCAGGGCCCAAAAAAACTTTCCAAAACACAAAGAGCAGCGACAGGAGGTGCCAGGCATTCTTGCTGCCCTCGGGGCATGTGCTGGGAGGATGCAGGTGGAGTTCAGATCCTCCAGATGAAGATGCTGCCACTTCCAGCACCTGGTGTGGAGGGGAGCACACCCTTCCCTGCATGTTTTAGGACTAAAGAGAGAGAATGTGCAACCACGGCATATTGTCAAGAAAATACCAGGGGGTTAAAAACGAGTACACATGCATTGAAACTCAAGAAAGATTTTAAAAGTTTCAAAAGTCTATTAACAGCTTTTAAAGAGGGAACTTTCAGCCAAACAGCAACTGAGAAAATAGCCTGAGTTTCACTGCTTTGATACAGAGAACTCCCAAGTAGTTTTTAGCACAAGAAGCAGAGTCTGTGCTTCGCATGGAAACCAAACCCCCCTTTACAAAGTCAGTTGTATCAGACAACTGCTGCTTCGACAACAAATTAGGAGGTCAGGTAGCAGACAAAATCAAACATCCTTTCAAAGACTCAGAAAGGCACCTGCAGCATGAAAAGGAGAGAAGTTAGAAACAGAGAAATGCTCTGCAGTGGAAGTTACAGAAGTTTATGGAAGTTTTAATCACTTCTTCAAGCCAAATTGATAGAAAGACAGAGTTTTTATTATGACGGCCCTGCCCAAGGCAGAGATGATCATGGGGTACATGATCCTTGAGGGTCCCTTCCAGCCCCAAACATTCCCTTTTTATGCCACTTTTATGTTTCCATCCTGGAAAAGATATCCCGAGATGTAAGACTATCAAGCTTCTTGTGTTAAAAGAAGCAAAGCAAAAATCTCACCCATGCTTTCACATTTCTTACTTTTAAGTTTCTTGAAGGCAACAAAGTGTAGGGACTGAAAAATGCAGCAAATTAAACACTAAGTCAATGAGTCAATACTTGGGGAAAAGGAAGAGGGATCACAGCTTTGCGAAGCATGGAAGAAGTGATTTTGGGATATCCTGCTCTCCTACTAAAAGTATCTTCCCCCAGCGTAACAGCGTGTTCAAACAAAGTTTCCACGTTCAGCAGCAATTTTGTGAAATTAGTCAGATGCAGCCTTCCCAGCTTGCTTTCTACCATTTCCAAGAGAAAAAAAAAAATAATAAAGCAAGAATGAAGATGAAAATAGCAAACCCTGGGCAAATGGAGCCAGCTCAAGGGGGCCAAGGTGACGGAATGGGGGTGGCAGCAGCCAGTTTTGGCAAGGGGAGCTGGAGGAAGGGAGCAGCTCGGATGTATACATGGGCTGGAGAGGAGCAAAGGGCAGCAAGATCTAAGCGAGGAGGAGCATGAATGGAGCATTTACACGGCGTCAAGGATGTGCTGACAGCCACGCAGGGGCTGGAGCTCTCATGCACTCACAGCAGCCGCGTCTCCGTGCGTGTTTGCAAACCACAGCCCGTGCTCATTCCTCTCAGGCGGATCTCAGCGCGCACTCAGGTAGCAGCTGAGCATGTGGAAGGGAACTTTCACTGGCAGCAGCAGACCGCACGGCACACCTCGTGCAGGACGGCCAAGCATCCCGCTGACAGGCCCCGTTTCCATGCCTCTTCGGGGCTCTCTTCACAAATAAAGTGCTAGCTGAATGCCCTGCCTGCCAGCAGGAAGGTATTTGGGACTGCTGGAAGCCTGGCTGGGGAAGGAAGCAGAGAACCTGACGGTGTGAAGAGCTCGCAGCTCATACCTCACGACAGATGCTGCTGCTGCCCAGCTCTGAACAGGGGAAAGTGCTGAGCCTCCGAGACTTTTACTGAGCCCACAACTCAGTAAAAGTGCAGTATTCGTGGCATCAAAAGCCCAAGGCTCAGAAAGGGATCTTCTACTATGAGGAAAATACCCTTACACACCAAATCCAGTGCTGGGGAAAGACCACTCTGAGTGAAAGGGAGAGCAGGAGGATCAGAGAGCAAAGGAAGGAAGACAGAGGGACTTCCACCTTGTTGCGTTAAGGGTTCAAGTAATTGGGAGTGATGCCCAATTCATCAGGAGGTATCTTCCCCAACATCCCCTCTCCCTTAAACTAATCTATTTCTTATCTTTAGGTGGAAATTGACTGACATGCATACCACCCTTGGTTGGTGTGAAATGTTCTGACTTTGCTTTTAAAGGTATAGACTAGAAAAACTTAAAGCACAACCTCAGCGACATATGGTTACACCTTGGATACACGTAGCTTTTAGGCTGGAGGTGTGTTTCGGTATCATTATGCTATGATAATGGACAAAGTTCACCAAAAGGGCAGCATTTTCTCAAAAACCATGGCAGGCCGTTGGCCCAGGCTAGCAAACACGCAGCTTATCGGTTCCGATGTACCTTCGAGGTCCCATCTTATCACAGAGCCTGGCTGCAGTGCCTGAACTCCGCTCCACCCTCCACACAGCACACCAAGTTCCCCTCAAACCCCCCAATATTTAGGGTTAGGGAACTTTTAGGGAGTGCAGCTGCAAAAGGCTTCCACCCTGGAAGCTTCCTCAGTGCTGTACCTTTTCTTTAAGATGTGAGTATCAGTTTAATTTCTAAGTCACCTGCAGCAATTATCCCCCACACTAGTAGTAAAACTACTCTCACTCCATACACCACCAGTATTTTCAATAATTTGGCCCTGCAATTTTGAACAAGATGTATTGACAGGTGAGCAGCCTTAGCAACAACAGCACAGCCTAAGCTCCACGAATACCTGTACGCCAACCGTGGAAACAAGAGAACCTGACGCTGGAAGCAAAGGAAATGATTAAATCAACGTTTCCTCACGGTTATTGGTACGAAAGTGTGCGAGAGGCAAAGCCTTGAACCCCACTCAGCTGCAGAGCCCCATCTTCCCAGGGCTTCTAGTAAAGGCCTTCAGCACCGGAGGGAGAAAAGCGAGAAGTACAGCTCCTCTGCTTTTCCTAGCACAGCAGCAATCCTCCTCCTGGCTGCCCTTCTTGATTCCTGGCCCCTCAAGGGGAAAGCAAAGAAAAAAAAGAAGGCAGCAGCCAGCCGCGGGTGCCGGGATTGGAATGGTTCGTGGGAAGCAGGAGCCACCTCAGCCACAGGTCCCGTACCTCGCTGCGCTGCTCCTCGCTAAGGAATTCAGGAATAAGGGCGAGAGATTTTATGCAAAGCTGTCAGGAACAGTAAATTAAAGTACAGGAAGTTCGACTTGTTCTGAAACTTTTCTAGGAAAAAGAAAAAAAAAAAAAAACAAACACACAGCTATGAGGCACCAGCCGTCCAAACACTCCAGTTCCTACATGAAAATAGAAACTGCCTCACAGAAACAGCCCGGAATCAGAAAAAGCATTGTCCTGTAGTAACAATACACACTTATATGATATTAATATAGTTTCCCTAAATAATATCGGGGGTCCTTGAGGGAGCTGGCAACCTTTCTTCTGCCCACGTTCATCTTCCAGCTCCCGACACTCGTTACACGACGAAGCCTGAGGACACCTAAGGAAGCCGATAACCCCTTCCAGCCCTACCCGGTGCCTGGGTAGGGCCTGGGCAGCTTTTCCCAACACCTAAAACCCCCCAAAACGAGGCAGGGCCCGTGACGAGCGGGCTCCCCCCGACCTCCTTCAGCCCCGGGGCAGGCCAGGAGGATGCGGCCCGCTGCCGGGAGCGGGGAGGGAAGGAAATGGAGACCCCAGAGCTGCCAGCAGGAGGCTGAGCTGGCAGCACAGCCGGCCTGGAGGGGGGAAAGAAGGTGAAAAGGAGCTCACCCAACCCGGGGAACGACCCCGACACGGAGCCGGGGGGCTCCCCGCCGCCCCCTCGCCTCACGGCGGCCGTGAGGGGAGAGGAGGGGGGGGACCGAGCCGCCCCTCCCGGGGCCTCAGGACAGCACCGAGGCTTTGCCCCTTCCTTCCCCACGGCCTCAGAGGCTCCAACAGGGCCTAAAGGCTCCAAAACGGCCCCGTCTGGGGGTAAAATACTAAGGGGGGAGCACCTCAGGGCGCCTCGTGCGCCGGCGGTCGCCTCCCCTCAGCCGTCCCCCCTCCTTCCCCCCCTTCGTCCCCGTCCCTCAGGCACGCAGCGAGCCCGAGCTGAAAGCCCCAGAAAGCCCCCGAGAGTGGAGGCGAAAGCGGTCCGAGCCTCACCGGGTCCGGCGGAGGTGGCTCCCGGGTACATGTCTCCGTGTGAGGCGGCTGCGAGGGGAGGGAAAGGGAGGGAAAGGGAGCAGCCCGAGCCGCGCTTAACGCTGGAGGAGAAGGGGGGGGAAAGGGAGGAGGAAAAGAAAAAGGGAAAAAAAAAAAAAAAAAGGAGGAGGGCCCGCGTTAAAACCAGGTTACTCGGCGGCCCTGAGGAGCGGGGAGAAGGGAGGAGCTGTGGGGTCACGGGGAAGGGGCGCTCCGCCTGCTGCCCGCCTCCCTCCCTCAGCCCCCGCGGCGAGCGGGAAGCGGGGCGGGCGCCGCCTGAGGGGCCCCGCGGCCCCGGCTGTGGGGCCGGCTGCGTGCTGCCAATGGCAGCCGCTTCCCTCCTCCTCCTCTTCTTCCTCCTCCTCTTCCTCCTCCCCTGACCGATTTCTTCCTCAGCCATGCCGCCGGGCTTTGCTCTTCGCCTGCTGGTGTGGCCGAGCAGGCGCGGAGCGTCTGTGGGAGAAGCGTTTCTAAGGGTCGCAGCCAGCCGCTAAGGCGAAACAAAAGGGTGTTTTGCCTCAGCTTCTGTTTTAGGCAGGTGTGGTGTCGGCAGTTGTACTGAAATAAAAGCGTAGGGTGGCTGCTAGAGGACTTTGCAAAATGCAAAGTGCTTCAGGCTCCCTCTCTACTGTGAAAACCTTAGATCACCCCATTTCCCTCACACCTCCGTGCCACATCCACTTTTTGTCCCATCTAGGAATCCGGGTTGTGTTGTGGTACCTCCCTGTCCTACACAAAGATAATTCCTGGCCATCCATACATGAGGTTTGGTACAGGAGGATGCAAAGTAGCAATTGCCATAACGTGAAAGAGGCATAATGTTGGTCAGCGTGATGCACTGAGGCCCGGGAGATGGTCTGTGGTGACTCCTGGAGCAGTTTTCAGGACTAATTGGTAATTACCTCATTGGTTCTTCACTTCAGGAGGAGAAAATAGGAAAAAAAAAATAATAAAAAACAAACCTGCTAAGGAGACTGAGTTAAAGCATGAGCTCACTTCCACCAGAAAACATTAATTACATTACATCAGCTATGATCCATACTTTCCTCCAGCGGCGCCATTTAGATGAGGGTGACTTTAAAAAAAAAAAAAAAAATCTCATTCAGTCAAGCCCCTTCAAAGTCAACTAAATTCCTTCAGTTAATTGTATGTGCTAGGGGACACGGTGAACGTGTTGCTTGGTTATTCAAACCATTTAATATCCTCCTTCATCAGTTTGTATATGAAGTGATAATAGAAGCATTTAGCTATTCCAAATTGACATCAGCTAGATACTTACTCCCCTTTGGGTGGTACTGGTAGGTAGATAGATATTCAGGGGTTGCTGTTAACTGCTCATCTGGACAAAACAACGGGTCAAATTCATTTCTAGAGAAAAGCCAAGTGGCTGGAGCACAAGTATAAAGAGAGACTTTGAAGATGGTCTGCCAAGGCAGCTGGCAAAGGGGTTGCTGCTGTCCCCTCTGTGAAGAGTTCTTTAACATTTTTGCACAAACACCCATAATTTCTTGGTTTATGCTAAATAAGGTTAGTCGAGGCTGAAAAAAGGAAACAAAATCCCCCCAAACCAGACTCAGAAGAGAGTTATCTGAGGCAACTTTGGCCTTTCTGCTGTATCAGGCAGTACTAAATGCTGAGGTGAGAGTGGGAAATCATACAGTCCCTATAGCAGCATCTGAGTTTTTGATACTATATTTAAATCAATCTCTCCAATCTGATTAGGAGGATAACTCCCGCTAACATTATGCATACCCGTGTACCTGTTAGACCTCCTGCATTTAAGTACAAGAGAACATAAAAATCCACAGATAGGTTTCTAGAAAAGCCCGTTGAAAGTGGTGATCATGGAGAAGTTGGCATCCAGTACCCACCACCTCATCTCACCCAGCTAAGTCTAGATTTACTGCCTCACACCAGCACCAGCTGGATAATGTAGCTACATGCCTGTCTTGGCACCTACCTTTGCCTACTCAGGTTTAAAAATTAGACGTGAAAGAGCTGGGGGAAAAATGTAGTAGGGCTACTATCATATGAGCAGTTTGTTTACTGTTCTAGCAAGAGAAATAACACGGCTTATGTTTGCTACACAGGGAATACAAGATGAAAATAATCCATCACAAGTAATGAAGGCATTTCAAAATCTGTGACTTTTAATCCCTGGCACCTGATGTGATGTGGTAGTTAGCAAACATCACTAATAGCACGTCAAGCATTTTAATACCAGGTCCGTTAGTACTCAAAAAAATTATCAAAGCTTATATATACTTCAGTCAAAAATTACAACAAATATTTCAGTCACAAGACTGCACTTAAAGGTATTTTGTGAGAAACAGCTCTCATTTTATACAAATTCTAGCACACAACACGCAGATTTTAGGTTAAGAGGGCTATATGTGAGGTTAAGAGGATTTGGTAAAAGGACCTTGGAGCCCCCCACTGCAGGATGTGGTATTTCTTATGGTATTTCCACCTGAAGGAAGAGCTCCTCATGTTGGTAGGCATGTGGAATGAGTTCAATCCAGACTTCCAGGAAAAGAGCCACCTCTGTGATGGACAAAAAACAAACACACACAAACACCGATAATCCCATCTCACCTTTCCACGTCGTTCTGCTTGTGAAATACCCGACTGAAAACAACGGTCATTGCTGAAAGGATGTGCCGACATGCAACTTCATCTGATACCTCACCCAGCTGCCAAAAGTAAAAATAAATAAAAAATATAGAGTTTGTTTTGGTACTCTGCAATCAGTTGGAAATTAACAAGCCACCAAGGAACAGAAGATAGCTGACATTTAGGGGAGGTTGCACAAGACAGTAAAGACATATCCCATGCTACTTTTGGGTTCTGAAGAACACTGCAATCAATTCAGACACTCTCTGGAAAATATAGATCTGGAGAACAGCAATGAATATCTGGAACAGGCTAGAGTGCAGTATTGTATTGATTTCGAGCTGGTTTCTGTGGGTTTCGAACTTCATAAGCAAAAGGGCTTATCACTGTGTATACATGACTGCGGGCTTGCACAATCAGTTAAATAGTAAATCAGTTAAATAGCTTTATTTAAACAGTTTTTTTTTTTTTTTTTTTTTTTCATGTAGAAGTCCTGGTGTTCCTGCAGGCTGTTTTCATGCTACTGTACACTCTCTGCAAGATTTCTGGGTTACTGGGGAGAGTTACGGCTCTGGTCTTCCCCTGTTCTTGTAGTAATGGCATACACAGGTCATTTGCATTACTTCTCATGCTTTCTGTCACTGCCAAATGATGTTTTGGGACACACTGAAACCTAATGATGTGTTACTGAGCAATTTCACCCGCATTCCCCCCCCAAAAAAAAAAAAAAAACAAAAAACAACCCCTCACTGTTTACACACAAAACCCCCTCTATTTTTGAAAAGATTTGGGGTCAGATTGGTTTGAAAGCTCTATAAAAGCGTTCTTCTCAACATGCTGTTAATAAACTAATATTAACAATTACAAAGTATTATTAAGAATTGCTGAAATGCTCAAAATCAGGTTTCTTTAGAGAAAAATTTGACTGGCAGATACCAGTTATGATAGATACCGTATCATAACTGCTAGATTTCAAGTTGAAATCTCCTAGAACTGGTATTTCCCAAAGAAGGAATTACTGGTTTGAGGAAAACCGTGCATTTTCTAATATTTTTGAAGTAAGGTGGTGTTTATGAATGGCTTTTAAGAATCACTTATATAAAAAGAGGTAACTGGGGGTAAATATTTTATATACAAATAAGCTAGTGGCAGTATATATGGCTTTTTTCTTTGATGAGAGAACATATTTTGACCTCACTAAGCACAACTGTTTTATTTTTAAACTAAATTAATTTAAAAAACAGTTTATAATGCCTGTTAGTCATTTATAATAATGATACAATGGCAAAAAAATGTTACTCAGAGAAGAAAGATGTAAATCTGATTCTTGACTGTAAAGGAATTCAAGCTTATGTTATTCCAGCTCTCAAGTGGCCAGACTTTTAAACTGTTATTCTGGAGTGTGCACACTAGATTTCTTACATACTCTATGTCCTTTTCATAATAAAATATATTTTTTGCTTTGCACAATGAAAATATAAAACAAGATCAGAAAAAAGGTGAAGGACTCAAGCAGGACTCAAACAGGACTTACTTTTGTAGGTGATCAGTGCAAACACTACAGCAATTAAAAACTATTAAAAAGATGCAGCACCACCTATTGGGGATGTGCTGTGTGCTGATTGTCACCACTGCAAGTAGCAGCAGAGTTTTTTCTTTGTTGTGAGCCCAAAGGAGCAGCCTGTCCAGGCAGGTTTCTGAGCTGGACTTCCCACTATAGTCACGGACTCAGGCCTGGAAATATTTCTGGGGTTTGAACGCAGTTATGAGAAAGGGTGAAACAAAGAAAAAAAATCTGCTAAGGAACAAGTTGTTTCCAAAAAGAGGATAGGAAAAGCAGATACTGTACTGATACTATTAATGAACAAGGTTGGAGAAGACAATTTAATGGTGAATAGTTGCTTTCTCAAATCCACCCCTGCCCCAAAAATAAAAAAATAAAAAAGCCCTGGCCTCAGTGTCACTATAGCCCAGTAGGTACAGCTATAAAATCATAATCATACCATGCCGAGAAAAAGCTGGGACCACCACTGGAAAACAGTTGCAGGGGGGGATAACTGCGCTGGTTAACAGTACCCCGATGTGCCTCAACCAGCACAGGGCACCCCGATTAACCACCAGCTCCTTCCCTCTCTCAGGAGCAGAAAGCCTTCAGACCTTTGGGTAAAGGTGTTGAGCCCCTGATCCTGGTTTGTCAGATCTGTGCAACTCGTGTGAGAGCTCACCATGTGAACTGGAACTTGATAGCAGGTGTTGCTTGCTGTGAGGTTTGAATGTGGGATAATGGCAAAGGCCTTGAAAGAAGAGGCCCCCAATCATCAGTAACTTCAGAGTGGTTTGGGTTGGAAGGGATCTTAAAGCCCATCTAGTCCCAACCCCCTGCCATGGGCAGGGACACCTCCCACCAGCCCAGCTTGCCCAAAGCCCCATCCAGCCTGGCCTTGAGCACCTCCAGGGATGGGGCATCCACAGCTTCTCTGGGCAGCCTATGCCAGTGCCTCAGTATCCTATGAGTGAAGAATTTCTTCCTTATATTTAATCTAAACCTACCCTCTTTTAGTGTAAAGCCATTCCCCCTTGCCCTATCATTACACTCCCTGACAAAGGGTTCCTCCCTAAACTTGTGGACAACTACTAATTATTGAAAAAGTGCAACTTGATAGCAGGAAAAAAGGCTGATTAATAAAGGAAGAATCAGCTCAGAAAGGTTAAAAACAACAAAACAGTTAAGCAGTGTCAGGAAAAGAGAAAGAAAATGTGAGATTCAGGTCTCCTTGGTGAGGACTTCTTGAGTTTGGCCACCTCGATGACTGTCAATACCCAAAGTTGTGCTTTGTACAGCACCAGCTCTGTAGCAGTGTGCACACACATCTAATTTAGGAAGTGTTAAGGACTGAACGTTTTGTATATGTAGCAATAACGACTGATAAAGTACAATCATTAATCTATAATGATAACAATTGTGAGAATTAGCACAGTGTTTTCTTAATATTAGTAGTAAAGTTCTGTTTTCAGTTTTAAAACTGACATGATTTACCAGTGTTAGCACTCCCAGCTATCTCTAATTCTTTAAATGGTGTGTGTATGTATATATATCTATGCACGCATGCATATATATCAGCTGCAAATGTTTGTTGGAACAAGTTCATCCCCTCCTTCCTGATGTTTTGCTTTCCTGGCTGGTAAATAGAGCTCAAGTGTATTCAGTCAAATCTCTGCCACTGCCCTTTACTGTCCTCCAAGTGTAAAACACCCACCTCAGGAAATTTTCGCACCCAACCTCTTTGCTTTGCTTATCAGGAAGACACTCCTGTGCTATCTGATGAAATCTTTATCAGCACAGTTGTATTATCACCCTACATCAGAGCATTGGCTTTCTGGAGCAAGCCCTAGTAACTCATCACCCTGGAAGTAATTCAGGATCCTAGAACTGTAGAATACACAGAAACATATATATATATATATATATATGTATATGTATATTTTAACGTAAATGTATTTTTTCTGATTTTTTATTTAACTTTATTCTGAGCCCCTACAGATCAGCCACATCAGTGTCACTCGATAGATGCAGCAAGACAGCCATGAAGCAAGGATGCGGGCAAATCTCCTCTAATTAATGTCTTTATCAACCAAAACCTAAGCTTATGTGAAAGTCACGTTTAAATTTCAGGTCATAATATTTTATTTTTAAACAACGCATCTTCATTTTAAAATCATTTTTGTTTAAGAACTGTTACCTACGTCCCTTTTCTCTCCTATAGGGTCTGCCCAAATTTCCACTCAGACCTTCACCATGAAAACAGGATAGAAAAAGCTGGCCCCTGTCATTCACCTGTCTTCTTATCCACAAGCAATAGAAACTCCTGAGTACTGTCCCCAAACAAATGCATTCAATTTCAGTACAACATCATGAAATCTGTGGAACATCGCCAACAAGAAGCCCTTGAACACACAGAACCTGCAAGTTCAGTGAAGCTAGTTTTTTTTCTGAAGACAGCAAAGATTTATAGGCACTATTTAAATCCTGTACAATAAGTTACTTTCTATTCAATGCAGGATGTTTTCAGCGGAGCAGGCACATTTCAGATGCTGAATCTAACATCATTTGGCTTCTCAGCTGGCAGTGTCTTTAGCCATGAGGTATAATCTGAGCTGTTTAGCTATCTTCACATGGGCTCATGGTGGTCCTCCTGCATTGGCAATTGACAACTACAACTACAACTTCCTCGTAAGGGGGTGTCGAGAGGCAGGAGACCTTTTCTCCATTAACACCAGCGACAGGACCCGCGGGAACGGGGTTAAGCTGAGGCAGGGGAAGTTTAGGCTTGACATCAGGAGGGGGTTCTTCACAGAGAGGGTGGTTGCACACTGGAACAGGCTCCCCAGGGAAGTGGTCACTGCACCGAGCCTGACTGAATTTAAGAAGAGATTGGACTGTGCACTTAGTCACATGGTCTGAACTTGGGTAGACCTGTGCGGTGTCAAGAGTTGGACTTGATGATCCTTAAGGGTCCCTTCCAACTCAGGATATTCTATGATTCTATGATTCTATGACAATTCCCCTTGCTTCCTTCTGCTTCAGCAAGTCATTCTTCAGTTCCCTCTCCCATATACACGAACATAATCTGGGATCTGTTTAGGAGAAATCTTACAAGATAAGGTTGGGTCTCCTGCAGGTGTTTTTTTTAGCCTTTCCACAAGCTGCACATTTACAGAGGTGCTGTTGGAGTTGCTCAGAGACTCCAACGCCCTTAAGCAAACTCCAGTTTCTGCTTCCAGATATTTCGAGCATAGCTGTAGCCTACACAAGAACTTCCTTCTAACTAGATCTGTGAGTTCATTTGCCTGAAAATTACATTTTTCAGTCACCTGCAAGCGAAGTGCTGCAACATTCAGCATTCACCATCTCCAGCAGTAAGTAGCATCTGATCCCCATCCAGTGAAACTTGGAGATGCTTCGAATTATGAGGAAGGGATGGGTAAAAGATGCATTGAACGCTGTCATTTTAAGGTTCTAAATACCGTATCTTTTTGCAAATCCATTAAATTATTCTGCTCAAGCTTGATTTTGAAAGTTTTATTTACAGATTGCGAACACCAGCCTACAAAACAAAAAAAAAAAAACACACATATTTTAAGTAACTTTACCCTTGTCTGGGTATTGATTGATCACATATAAATAGCAGAGGGGGAAATGCTGGAGTTTGCTAAGGTTACAAAGTCACCTAGAAGTGGGAATTGATCACAAATGGCTCTTTCCACATCGTTATTTTATTTATTTATTTATTTTTACACACGTGCGTTCAGGCAAGCAACGTCACCCTAAGGTGCCAGCCACCCAGGTGCCACCCACGAGGTTTGGATGCGTTTTTGGGGCAAAACGGTGCCAAATCGCGACCCCTCGTGGCGCAGGCCGGCGGGCGGCGCCTCAGCCCCAGCCCGCCCTCAAGCGTGAGGGGGGCAGCGGGAAATGGCCGCCGCCTCGCCTCCTCCCGCCCCCCCCGCCGCGATTGGCGGAGCTCCTCTCCTCCCCGCTCTCGGATTGGCCAGCGGCGCTGTCATCTCCTCGTTCGGCTCTGCGATTGGCTGAGGTCACTGATATAAAGCCGCCCCTCAGCGCCGGGCGCCCTTTCCTCGCTGGCCGCACAAGGTGCTGTGTCCTTCACACGAAGCTAAGGCCGTTCCACCCCGGCGACTGGCACCGCGCCCCCCAACCACCACACCATGGCCTCCGTCTCCGAGCTCGCCTGCATCTACTCCGCCCTCATCCTGCACGACGACGAAGTCACCGTGACGGTGAGTGCAAGGCCCCGGCGCCACAAGATGGCGGCCGGCCGCGGCATGGCGGCGGCGGCCTCCTCCTCCTCCTCCCCCTCCTCCTTCCCTCGGAGCCGTCTCCTCAGCGCCGGCCTCGTTGCAGGAGGACAAAATTAACGCCCTCATCAAGGCGGCCGGAGTCACCGTGGAGCCCTTCTGGCCGGGGCTGTTCGCTAAGGTAAGGGGGGGGTGGATGGGGAAGGGGGCTCTGGGGGGGGGAGGGTGAAGCGAAGCTCGCCCCGCGTTAACGAGGCCGTGCCGGGTGCTTTTCTTCTCAGGCTTTAGCCAACATCGACATCGGCAGCCTCATCTGCAACGTGGGAGCCGGCGGCGGGGCTCCGGCTGCGGCTGCTCCTGCGGGAGGGGCTGCGCCGGCGGGCGGCGGGGCTGCCCCGGGTAAGTGGGGTGCTGGGATGGGAGCTGCTGGGTGAAACCTTGGGCTGAGATGTTCTTAGGAAGTTTGGGAGGCAGCGTGCGGGTGGGAGGGAGCAGAACCACGCCTCATGCTTAGTAATAAGGCTGGAGCCTTTCAATTAAGCACGTGGTGCTGGGGTTACCTCAGAGGCACAGGCTGCCTATAAAAGCTGTGACTGCCCCATCCCTGGAGGTGCTCAAGGCCAGGCTGGATGATGCCCTGAGCAACCTGATGCAGTGGGAGGTGTCCCTGCCTGTGGCATGGGGTTGGGACTAAATGATCTTTGAGGTCCCTCGCACCCCAGGCCATTCTGTGATGAATAAGCTGTCACCATCCAGGTTTTGCTTCCTGATGTTAAGTCCTCCAGCATGTGACTTATGAATTGGTGCAAAAAATTCTCACTGCTTTTTCTTTTATAGCTGAAGAGAAGAAAGAAGAGGAAAAGAAAGAGGAATCAGAGGAATCTGATGATGACATGGGCTTTGGTCTTTTTGACTAATTAGTTTTGTACCTGCCTGTAATAAAGAAGCATTGAACTGTTTGGTTGTCTCTTAAATGCTGGAAGGGAGCGGATGAAGGTTGGCCACACTCCCTGCAGTCCCCAAAACAGCTGCCACTGAATGCAGGCCTAGGGTTTAACTACTCCCTGTGTTGGTTCTTCATCCCCAGCAGCAGCAGAGGCGTAGCACAGAGCCAGTTACAGCTCCTAACTGCATTCCCAGCATGTGGATAGAGGTGTAAACACAGCTGCAGTGAGCATGGGAGGTGTGGAGGTTTAGAAGTGTTACTGCTTGGTGTGCTCCCTGTGCTGTGAGCTCTTGGGATGCTGCAGCACCCCACCAACTCCTAGCTAGGAGCTAGGAATTCCTTCCTAGGAGCAGTTAGAGGCTGGGGCACAACTGTGGGCCTTTCACAGTGGAGAGCAGTTGAGAATGTTTTGGAGAAGGCTGAAATTCGTATCTGAAGGCCCTTGTCTGGGGTTAAAACTCTGTAGTTTCTCATGTAGAGCTGTAATTTAAGGAGTAGATGAAAAAAGTCTTTGCAATACTCAAAGCTTCAAGCCTGGGGTGTATGAGGTACAGAGGGTGCAGAATGTTTTGCTTCCCCAGGGAAAAAATCAAGGAGCATCACTGAAAAAACAGCTGTGTTGAAGGGTAACGTACAAATGGAGTGATGTAAAAGTATTATGAAAACTTCTGAATTGGGCTTATTCTATGAGTCAAAGTGAGGGCTATCTTTAAGTGTGTCAAAATATGAAATGAAAGGCAGTAATAAAGCATTCTGTATGTTTAAAGGAATACTCAAAAGCTGTATTGGAGGGTTGTGGTGCATCTGGTTGAATGGTAGTAGCACTACGCTGCCCCATCCCACAAAACCCAGGACTTTTCCTGGGGAAGATGCAGGCACCTGGGGAAATGAGGTCTGGTCTTGATGGGGGACTCCAGGTAGCAGCAGATCCTGCAACTGTATTGCTGCTGAGAGCTTCCGCCACCTCCATCAAAGAAAAAGGGATTTTAAAAGTAGGGGAATGTAAGAAGTGACACCCCATAATCACAAATAGTTCATTTTGATGGCAGGTAGCACTGGCTGACTTGTTCTGTGCTTAGAAATAAAACTGCTTTAGGGAAAAGGACTAAAAATTTTTTGATTTCTTCCTTGGCTGCTCGCTGTAACTTCTAAAACCTCAGGGAAAGGGAGGGAGGGCTCTCCAGTAAACACACACAGACAAAAAAGAGCCAGACTCACTGGTAACACCTTTTTAATAGGTCAAAGTAACTGTACAGTTCATTATATTCTTCCTGAGAATAATTTATATCCCTCAACAGCAAAAAGGGAGTGTGGTTTTTATTTTAACAGAACTGATGGCATAACTGGAAAAACCAAGGAAAATCTACTCACGCTGCTCTACGGTAACTCCTCCCAGGCAAGATAGACAAAAGGATGGGTTAGTTAGCTACAGTGGGTTTAAAATATTCAACATGGCTTTAATCTGTCTTTATAAATTATATAAAAACGGGGGGCATGAATGGTTACAGGGCTCCTCGAAACGCCGCTCTGAGTTGCTCTGGTACAAAGCAGCATTTTTTGCTTCCAAGGAAAACGACGTTGCTACAAAAAGAACTGGCACGTTAATTCGGGTGAAAGAGACGAGTTTTCAGTTGTGTCCTACAGCTAGCTCCAACCAAACGCATCACACGGGCACGTAAAAGTAAAAGGCAGGAAGATGAAGAGGGCTTTTAGTCTGTCCGGAAACAACCGACGTCTTGAAAATATAGCTTTTTATTTTCTTTCTCTGTAAATTGTGATTAGCATATTGCGACGTTAAGTGTTCTAATAAAAAAAAAAAAAACAAAAAAACTTCCAGTCTGGATAGTTCATACACTGCGGGCAAGAATTCTCAGCCCTGAGGTTTCCCAGAATTCTTCTTATTCACGATCTCTTTTTTTCCCCGCTCTGCTGCTCGAACAGTTCTGGCTCCGAGACCCTGCGGCAGCTTGAGGCGAAGCGCGGCTGACGCGACGGGAGCAAAACCCAACCTCGCTCCCCCAGGGCCTTCTGTACAGACTTCGGCTGCTGCCCACACCGCTGCTTCAATCCCAGACCAGCTCGGCTTTTAAAAAAAAACTGGGTTCAACTTTTTTTTTTTGTCGCGGGAGAGAAGCGCCGGCTGCCAGGCAGCTGAAGCAAGAGTCACTGGAAAGCCAGGACTGCGCTGGGTGAATCCTCGCTGCTGGTGGAAGGTCAGCCTGTGGCGAGCAGAATTCCTTCAGCCTGCTGAAACTCTTCCCTCGGTGCTCCTAGTGCGGCCTGGACTGGCTGATCATTTTCAGTCGGGCTTGGTCGATGACATCCAGCAAGTTTTTGGCGTCCACGGCCAGAGCGTGAGCGGCCGTCAGCATCTGCTTCTTGTACTCCTGCTGCAGGCTGGTCATGACGTACTGCTGGGCCAGCTTCATCTTGTTAATGAGCTCGGCCAAATCAGAGTTGAGCAGCTTCTGCGCCATCTCGATCTGCAACGAGAGGACTCGGTCAGCTGAGTAAATCATCAGAAATCGCTCAGGACAGAGCAACAGCACCCTCCACCCTCCCTGAGGTTTTGTTTCGGAGCTGGAGCCACCATGTGGAATTGCTACACGGGATGATTCTCTGCCTTTCTCACTATCACGCTCAAGGTTTTGGAGGAAAATGGTTTTATTCCTGACTCTCCTCAACTCCACTCACAGATCTCAGTCATTTCTTAATCCCAAACGAGGTTTCTAAGGGATATTTTCTCATCCAAAGCTCCCAGCTGCACCGAGCTGTGCTCAGTTACCTGTGTCATGACTTTGTGTGCAAGCTGTTTAATCAAAGATTAAATCTGCACCAAGAATTAAGGCCCAGATGCTCTCCCTGCACCCCAGTTGTGATTTGCTGTAAGCACTGCTGACAGCTTTTATTTCAACTGTGCTCCTTCACCCAGTGCGAGCACCTTCACTTGGAAAAAATGACATCCACGCAACGCTTAGGTTCTAATAAACTTGATTTCATGAAGAAATCGGAGCGTTCACAGTGCCTACTGCATCCAAACGTGTGTGTGCAGGGAAGAGAGAGCCAAAACAGACGGGGACTGAGCAGCACGTGAGCTGTACCCACCTCTCTGTGGGTGCTGGCAGGAAGCACCGGCAGGGTCTCATCCACCGTTGCCAGCAAGGTTCTCAGCGCCAAGCCCACCTCCTGAGGAGAAAAGGAAGTAAATAAGGAAACAAAACAGCCCCAGAACGTGTCTTGACTTCCCAGAAAGCTTCTCCTCCATCAGTTCTGTCACTCAGGGGTGAAATCCAGCCCCGATCTCCTAAGTTCCTCCTCACCTTTACCATGGGCACGTACTCCTCCGGCGGGGCTGGCTGGATTTTGCTGGACATCTCGATGACGGCTTTCACCAGCCCCGTTACGTTCTCGTAGACTTTGTCGTTGGAGCGGTCCAGGTTGGCCGTGGGAGGAGGGCTGATTTCCTGCGGCTGAAGCTGGAAGCAGAGAGGAGCTGCTGAAACTCGTGTCCCCCAGCAGATGGGGCTCAGCAACCTCCCAACCTCGGGGAAGGGCTGGTGTTTGCCACCGCCACCCTGTCCCCGCTGAACACACTCACCCTTGGGGCTGAAGGAAGCTTCCTTCATGTGAAATGAGGGATTTTACCACAAAATCTCCGAAGAGCTCCCAGTCTGACCCCCACAACAACAAAATAAGGTGAGGAAGGAGGAGCAGAGCACTGGGCACATCTCAGTGCTTCGCTCCCGATGGACAAAGTCCCTTTTACAACAGGTCCCTTGTCCCCAAAAATCCTTTTTTTTGCAGGGCAAATTAACAAAAACCAGTGTCACCAGCAGAGCTGGGACACCCCAAAGGTGTTCACCAGTTTCTTTCCTATATCTGACAGCTTCCAAGTCCCATAAAGCTGCAGACACCCCGGTTTCCCTGCAGCTCCGGGGACAAGCAACCCCCTGGGGGAGAGGAGGGTTGAGAAACGCCTCTGTCCTCCTGCTGCCATGGTGCTTATCCCTGCAGAGCTGGGATCAAATTTGAACGTTTCCCTAATTGCTTACTGCCAGCTGTTACAGAGATCGGGCTGGCGCATCGATCAGAGGGTACTGGAGGAAAAAGGAACCCGGTAATTATTGAATCAGCAGGGAGAGGCCGTGATTGGAATTGGATGAAGCGAGCGAGAAGTTACAAGAGGTCGCATGCAAAGACGTCAGGGGACAGGGCACGTACACACGCTCACGCACTGCTTACCCTCCATGGCTATTGTTGAGCAGAAGGTGGGGGAAGGTTAAAGAAATTTACCGAAAGAAGGGAAAAAAAAACAAAAACAATATTAATAAACTCAGCAGGAAAAAAAAAAAAGAAAACAAAAAAACACAAACCCAAACACGTGTAGCAATAAGAGCCCAGTTAAAAAGCCTGCAACAAAAGTGATCCTGAAGGGGGCCGGCAGGCGTTCGGGTTAGCTCGTGGCCTCCCTGGGTGCTGATAACTGACGGGGGGAGAAGTGCTGGCCATGCGCCCATGCCGCCTTAAGGCTCGGCACGTGGGGAAGAGAGCATGCAAAGCTCGAGAAGAGCAAGGCAGGCTGGCAAACAGCAAAGTGGGGAGTGCAGTGAAAGGGCCTCTGCAGCAGGGGGGGGACGCTTCCTGGGAAACCCTGCTCCCTTTTAACACAGCCGGGGTTAGGAAGTACCAAGAGCCCGCTCCAAATGCATGTGGAGGATGTGGAGGATACTGAAATGCACCCCAAAAACATCTTCAGCGAGCAAAGTCACAACCTATTCCAAACTAATGAACTTTTTTTTTCTTGAAAGGGCACGTGACAATCCCATTTCAGGAAATCGCTGCCAGGAAAAAGAAGAAAACCAGCACTTTTTTTTTTTTTTTCCACTGAAGGAGCATAAATCTTCACACTGATGACGTTTCTGGCTGCTCAGGTTTGTTTGTTGCGAAGAGGCTGTGTTTCAGAAAACATTTTTCACGTTCCAGTATCAGTAGTTGGAAAGGAACTTTTGGAGAAGCCAAATTCAGCGCCACATCTGCTCCTGCTTTTTTACGTTTTCTGTGGCTTGGCAGCTCAAAAAGCACTGGCACCAGCTGATAATAAATAACCTGGCTTGAACTCGCCCGCGCTGCCTGTTTAGGCTGATTCTTAAATATTCAGATAACCTCAGGACAAAAGTGAGCAAGAGCGAGACAGGCAGGGGCTGGAAGATCAGTCTGTGCCAAACACAGTGCTTCGGTGAACCTCATAGTCAGAGGAACTGCATTTTTCCCTGAATTTTCCCCAAATCAGCATCAGCTCCATCTGTGCCTGCCGTAATAGGGATTCCAGTTCTCTGCTCGAGGCTTGGCAGGGCTCTGATTAACGTGAGGCTCTCCTGTGAGGAACTGCACTATTTATTAACGCTGGCTGTCATAACAGAGCAGGGATGGCCCCAGCGTATTTACAGGAGGCTGCACCCTAATTCTGACGTTGCTCTCTTCTCAGGAAAGGGCTGGAGTGCACAGAGGTTGTAAAGGGAACTGGGGTGTGTCTGCATCATTTCTGGTAGGGCGGTGCTGATGGAGAAGCCCCCATCAGTGTATCTAACTCCTGGAAATTGCTAATAGCAGCAATAGCTCCACTGGTTCCCCTCGGGAGGCCCTGGGGTCATTTGTTTCGGATTAGGCAGGTAAACGAGTCCCAAAGGCAGGGAAAAAAAATGGAGACATGATTTTAGAAGTCTCTGACACTCTTGAGGACCAGTTCCACTTACACCAGAGGAAACAGGTCACGGTTTCACACAGCCCTGCAGCACCTCTCTGCCAGACAACTCCACAAAATTTCCTGTCTGGTTTGCTCGCCTATTTACTGGAGATGTGACAACAGTAAGAAAGTCCCGACCACACCATTTCCTCTCTTTCCTTGTTCCCCAGAGCCAGCAGGGTTTTGGGAGTCGTGGGGCTGCAACAAGAGCTTTTTGGGGCACCGCAGCTCAGATGTTTCTCCTCTGTGTGACTGAGGGCCTGGACACCGTGGCAATACCTGAGTAACCTGGGTGTGCTGAGCTCCAAGGCTGGGTCCACATGAGCAGGATCCTACACCCCTCAGACCAGAAATAAGCTCACCTGGGAAAGATTCTAGGTGAGGAACGTGCTGAATCTGTCCTGGAGGATGTGAGCCAAGCAATAAACTCCCTGCAGAGCTGCCAGTGCACGACAACATCTACTCGGGGAGTTCGGTCACTTTTGCTTTCCATGGGCTCGGGGAGCAGCTAACTACCTCTGAGGGGCACCATTTCATTTTCTGAGCCGTGTGCTAGTTTCATTTTCCTGTGCTACCCAGCACTGTACCTTCACGCCTTCGTTGTAGCTGTCCACGGGGCTGTTGAGGCTTGCCAGGCTGCCCAAGTGGCCGGGGGCTCCGGGCCGGGGAGGTTTCTTTGGCGGCGCTGTGTGATCTGGTGAAGAAAATCTGCATTTTAGAGGACCAGAGCATCAGATCTACCTGCTTAATTCTGGTCTGCCAACGTTACGGAGGCTACTCCTGCTTTACTGACTCGGTACACCTAACCCAGAGCTGAGAGGTGCTCACCACCTCGTGCCCCAGCTGCGTGTCTGGGCAATCAGGCCTCTTCCTGGCAGAAGTCCTGGGCCTGACTCACTTCAAGACAGAGAAACCTAAATTTAGTTGTCTACCTGTGCTTTGCATGTCTCAACTCCACCCACAGTGGAGTCTTACACGGTGATTCAGCTTCCTCTAGACTCCCCAGCTGTTCAAACACCTCCTTGGAGTTGCTGACTACGTCTCTGGGAATTTAAGCAGTGACGGCACCGAAACACCTCTGTGGAGTTCTCTGGAATCGAATCCAACCTTGTATGGAAATCCTGGAAGGCACCTTTGTTGACTACTGCTGCTACAATCCTGTAATCCAGGATTCAAGGGGACGTGGTATGATTTGACTGCTTACCTGGTTTCCCCACAGGCTGATAGATGTGCTGGTTACCAGCCTACAAAATAAAGCACACATTTATAGCAGTTAGCACAGCGCTCACCATTTCACTAGCAGAACCTTAACCAACTGGAAACAGCCAGTTCTCAGCCCATTTCCCAGTTAAAAACACGTCCATATTCACCATCATCTCCTAATTACATTATTCACACAGTAAGGAAAGGATTTTCATTTATGTTGTAGTACTCACAGCAGCCCTGGCCTGTGTGTGACAGTTTATCCCTCACTATTAATCAAATGTGGTGGCATATTCACGGTGCTGATGAAGAAATCGCAGCACTTACAGAACTATTTCTGCACTGGAGAGTAGCATCAATAATGGTAACAGAACTTCTGAGCTGTGAAGCTCTTAATCAAGGTCAATTTTCTTATTCATTTGGAAGTATTTAATGATAGATTCAAGTGAATTTCCCCGGGAATTATGCTTATACAACCTCCAGGCCAAGAAAGATGAAAATCTGTTTGGTCACAAGCAAGTTAATACCTTGTGCAAAACTTGTCACATTAAAAAAAACACACACAAAAATGTTACAGTCACATTTTATGCACGCGTATCTGTAGAAAGGAGTTTCCATTGCAAAGTAAGACACTGAAGGCAGTTAGAATTTAACATGCCCAGCAGGAAAACATTTCAAGAAGGCATTGGTTTATAAAATAAAGGCTGTTTTCTGCAAAGCCAGAACAGCTCTCTGCATCAAACCTAGGGAAGCTGCTTTTTCAACATGTTAAATAAAAAATCCTAGAGCTCCCTTTTAGTGGTGTGAAAACAGGAGCTGCTTCAGTTTGACTTCAGCTCTGGATAATGCTATCACAAAGCACTGCCTGGAAATGTCAATTCACTTTTCTGATCTTTTAAGCACGGTTTTTGAATCTCCCACATTCTCTATTTTCAGAAACACACCCAGGTGATGGGGGCAGCAGCAGCACACCCACTATTCCTCAGCTTCCAACCTCGTAGCTGCCTCCTTTCAGCACTAACACAACCACAGCTGGACAAACCAAGCCCCTTCCTTGCCCAACAGCGTGCAGAAGGTCTGCAGGAGATCCTCTGAGCCAACTTGAGATCCTCACATCTTGCTAACAGGATCAACATCTCGTTAACAAACCTGAAGGACACTCAGACTTTTACTTCAGCATTTATTCAAAGCTTCGGCCTGGCGTTTTTAGAAATTCATGTCAGGCTTTTAAAAATTGCAGGCGGATCTGCCAAGGCTTCTGTGGTTAGGGCTGCCCAGCACTTCCTGAGGCCTCTTTTCAGCTGCTCAAAACTTTTTTTTTTTCCCCAATTTTAACTGCATGGACTGAGGATTCCCACGCTAACTCCACTTCTAGCTCGTTTCTAGCAGGTTGCTGTGGAAAACTGTGGCCAGAAGCAAAATGCTCAGGGTGTCGGGTCCCACAGAAATATATTGCTACCACCATGCCTAACCTAACAAAAAGGCACTCGGAGGGAGGACTGCAGTGACACCTCGGTGATCGGGATCCTGCCACAGAAACCTCTGCGTAATTAATGCTGGGTGATTGTTTAACCCCAGCTCTCCTACGAATGCCTCCTTATTTCTCATCCTCCCGATGAGAAACTGAGATTGACTCAAAGAAGCATCAGGCATTTCCCGCTGCAAACGAAGTCAGAGTTGCATTTTAAGCGTATTAAATGCTTTAAATGTATTAAGAACTCCAAGAATGCAAACTCGAACTCCGGAACTGAATAAAGAGCCTCTTGTAAAACCAATTTTGGCAACCAGCACGTTTTTCTTCCCACTCCTTCAAGTGGGAAGCTGCCCTACCTCACCTGGGAACCTGGAACATATCCTGCAAGCAGTTTGGGATCGGGGGGTTGGATTTTTCATTCTAACCCCAGGCAGTCAAAGCTGAAATGAGGGTCAGAGAAAGCAGCCTGCCCAAAGGAGCTGTGCTTTGAGGAAGCGTCGAGGAGTTTGATCAGCCCTCTGGCAGGATGGAGGCCATGCGACGCCTCTGGAATTGCATCCCAAATGATCGAGGAAAGTGGATTTTAAATGCTGACTTCCCAGAAATGCTTTGAAGGTGATCCCTGGACACCAACAAGGGAGGAAGCGCCAGGTTTCTATCAGTAACACTCCCTGGCCCGATCCCCTGTCCTCTCTGCGTGATTCAGAGGGTCTGATGGCAGTTCAACCACCGGGGAGATGTTTTTAGTTAAATACACAGCACTGAAGCCCAGAAGAAAGAACAGCACAGCTGCAGCTGCTGTCTGACAAGAAATGAATGGCTGTGGGGTTTGCTCCATTTGTTTCAGAGCGGGTCAGTTACCCTACACAGATTCCCGGGTAATACAACAGCAACATTTACATTCCTGGTAAGAAAACCCTTCAGATATTTAAACAACTGCTGAAGTTATTTTACCCCGGCTTCCTGTTGACGGGAGTTTCAGAAAACCATCGACGGTTTTAAAACGCCCAGGCCCAATTAGGCACCGCAGAAGCTTTTTGAAAATCATTGCGACATCTCGGCAGAAGCATTTGTTTCCACGGCAGCTTCGAGGGGCCAAAACCAACCCCCCAAATCCTCCCAAGTGCTGCACGAGGAGCTCTGCCTCGGCTGCTGTTCCTGCAGAAGCTGAGCTTCTTGGAAAGCTGGAGCAGCGTGTAAGGGCAGTGGAAACATTGAGCAAAGCCTTTCAGTCACGACTGCACAGCGTGTACTACCAGGAAGCTGGAAGAAGGGCTGGGAGCTGAGGAGATCCCACAAGCACTTACAGGGCCCTGGAGACCTCCGTCCTCGCGGTCGATGCTGCCCCGGGAGAGCCGCACGTCGGGTTTCTGCAAGGAAAAGTCACAATTTCACTGCTCTGCTTGCAGATTCACACAACCTGGGCTTAAAACCGTCTTAAAAACAAGCAAATAATGTCAAAAACATTACGCTGACAGATGCAGATGTCATTTAATTCCCCTCCCTACCATGCTACAGCTACCGAAACGCCCGGTGGGCTTCTGGACGGCTTCTCAGCACACATGTAAAAAAGGCTTTTCATAAGCAGTGATGGTACCGTTTCCCCAACACAACACTGGAAACCTGCATTTCCGTTTTCCCAAAGGCAAATGTTGGGTTTGGGGCTCGTTTTCCTCCCCACAGCACGATTTCAGCCCCAGGATGAGGAGCGCTGCGCATTAATTCCCGTTTCCTGCTCGGGAAGGCTGGGATGTACTTGGCTGCCTCGGTGAGCCTGCGGCCGGGGCCAGTTGCTGGAGCTCTTCAAACACTGCTTTTGGGTAAAAATAAAGGCGCCCAGATGCACTGGTCTCCAAACACAAGCGACAAACAAATGAATTTCTGCTTTATCTGCTTTAAGGAACACCGGGCTTGACTGTTTTACAAGGTAATGCTGCTCACGATCCCTTCCCTTCCTTCTTTCTAAAAGCACCAAAGAATGATTCCAATTCCTGTATCCTCCTAAAAAACCCTAAAAGGCATCAGGGGAGGCAGATCAACGTGCTAATGTTGATCTTTTATCATTAAAATACTTGTATTGTGCCGGCAGCCTGCAGCAAGGGCTTATTCTTGGGGTTTTCATTCAGTCCTTCCCAGATGGAGCAAGGCACAGTCAGAGAGGGTCGCTGCCTGAAAGAGCTTGAGATTAAAAATAGGGAAACAAAATTAGACAGGGAAGTATTTAACCCCTTCTTGGACGAAGAACCAACAGGACAAAAATGAGCAACTTGCTCCACGTTTCTCTGAGAATTTGTGGTACTTTTATAGCGAAACCTGCATGGGTGAAGCTTCAGTTTCATCCTTGATGATGATGAGAAACTTTTTCTGATGAAATTCTGATTTGATACAGATGTTAGATACTTCAGTACATATCAAGTGACTGATTCTCGTGGTATTTTTTAGCTAAATATTATCTAAGCACACAATTGAATTTCTATCGCACTGATGCTCACAATTCATCACTTTCATTTCTAGCCAGAGATGTGCCCAAAAGAAGATTCAGAAGCACAATGTGCACATGAGCCCAAATAACACCTTTCTTTCCAGTAGTAGCAGGAGCAGAAGAAAGAGAAGTTAAATTTACAGACACAGTAAGTCTTCTCCCCTCCTTGTCCTACTAACAACGTCCTACAACCCACGGCACCACCAGCAGCAAACACAAAGCGTGCAAGTGACCTTCAGGACATTGCACACACGAACACCTGGCTGCAGTCTAAGAATTGTTGCACAAGAAGGGCATAAATACACAGAAATTATTATTAAAAGCAGGATTAACGAAATTCTGTTGGACTAGCCCTTGGCAAACAAAGCCATGAAGTTGCCCAGGCTCCTCCAAGAACCTGAAAATGAGGATACCGAGTGCCAATGTGAGCAGTTTGTGCCACTACACAACTGAGCTCTCCCAGCTATGTTTCATGCAACAAATAAGCCTCACACCAAAATTCACCTGTTCCGTGCTCTATCCATTTATTTTCATGCATTTCTCAACCTTGTCGGAGCACAAGTGGTGCTCCCAGGTGTGTATGTGACATGTCAGGGGAAAAACCAGGCTATAATTTTGGCCGTGAAGCCCCCCAAATTGAATGTAACAGGTAAGACTTGTTAGCAAGCCGTGCCTAGAAGCAGCCTGCTTAATGCTCGTGTTGTCTCTTCATTTCAGAGCATGAAGCCTTTGGGAAATGGGTGATTTACGATTGCAGATTTTTCTGAAAAAGTTTCTCACTTGCGAGGATATTTTTAAGTACAGTGACTGGCCATGATGACGAGTCATCCTCAGATGTGTTTCATACTCACCGTGTGATGGGGCTGCTCAAACACACAAACTTTGCTTTTTATTTCTTTTTGGTGCGAGCTTTACCAGACTAAAATGCAAGTTTAAGCAATGTCTTTTCTACTTACTTTTTTATCCATTACAGATATATATTCCTGGTTGGATTTTTATCAAAATCTTGCAGAAAATCAAAGTCCCGGAGAAGTAAATGAGTTTCTTTTCCTAATAAAAAATCTGCTATCTGAAATCTCTGGAAACTTTAGGAGGACTTTTCAGACAGGATGCATATGTTGACAAACTGGAACAAAATCTATTTTATTTCCCGAATTCCCGGTCACTCACTAATAAAAGGACCATGTATGTCTTGGCGCTCTCAAGACATGCCAAACTGTAACATCTCGGTGGGATTTTCTCAGGCTAAAAATTTAGATCTTATTTTAGCAACAGTTCACATCAATTATGCTTGAATTGCCGTTCTCAGTGTCAGAATAGGACCAATACGAAAACCACAACTATGTGGGAATTTCAGAAAAAAAACAACAAAACCAAGCACGATAAGGAAACTATGTGAGTTATTTCTTCCAAACATCGCAGGAAAGAGCTCTAAATTTCTCAGCACAACACTGCTCTCTCTGCTGTGGAGTCACTAAAAGGAGTGTGAAAATGCATCTTTATTTTATATAATTAAAAATGACACCACATAGCATAAATACAACCACAACAGAAAAGTTCAAGCTGGAAATTAAGTTTAAATGGGGAAGGAATTCATGAAGATGTCCAAAAAAAGAAGGAAAGTCCTCTGCAAAACGTTCAGAGACGGCCAGCTACAGGGCAAGAAGTTACAGCATAAAACCCACAAATTTCCCTACACTGTTGTACTCAGGAGGTCACCTTGAGAAGGTAACAGCGTGACAATTTCTGTCCCACAACTTCTGCTCAGCATGGCATCACCTCCACCATGGGTTTTCTGAACTGTGGTTGCAGATGGATTCCCCTTTGGGGCCAAACTCTGTCTTAAAATACAGAAGATGTGCTCTTCTAGAAGCAATTAAAAAAAAATAATGGCAGTTTCTGGCAGTTCCCAACTTCTGCCAAGACCCCAAAATCAAAGTATCCTCAGAGGGCCTTTAAGAAATTATTTTAACTCAATGAATTAACTGCTTTGCTTTTAAATTCCTTCTACACATGAGATCAGGGCTGGAAGATCAACATTTACATACCCTGGCCCTGATGGAGTATTTCAATCCTTCGATCCTGAATTTCTGTGCACACACACTACAAAGGGAAGCCAGCAGGCTCGAGATGAAGTGCAAGTATCTCAGGACGCGTGCCAGACTGCAGGGTAACGGGCCAAACCTTTTAGCTACAGCAAGCTGTTGGGCTATTTGTGATCGTGGAGCTCTGCTTTTAGGGGTGGAGGCTGCTCATTCAGCTTCTACACGCTTTGCACTACGTAAGAGTAAAACCTTGATCAATCTTTGTGTATTTTCTTATTTTTTTTTAGAGTGGGAATACCCAGATGGCTGAAAAGTGATAGGAAAATGCAGAATGAGAGCTTCGTGTACTTCTTGTGATGCTTCCCATGGGAATGAGGTAACCACCCAAACATCCCAGGATAAAAACGAGTGAAAATCTCGTGGACTGCAGCACCTAAAGAAGTGTACAGCAAGATTCCTTGCCCTGAAGGATGAGCAGCATCCCACCTGTTTGATGCAACGTGTTTGTGTGGCAGCTGCCTGCCATACACAACCAGCATCTTCTGTGGCTGCCTGTACCACGGGTGAAGTGCTGCAATGCTTCATCTTTGCTTCGACTTCCTCAAAAACAACTCACAGATTTCTGTCTCCTTCCTAGAGGCACTTCTGCCAGGACACCATGAAAAACTGCAGGTTTCATCCGTGTCCATTAAACACCTAGTGTGCAACGTCCCTGCTGTATCAGGGGATGGGATGGGGTCTAGTCCTGAAGACGACAACCCTCCCCACCTTCCCTATTCTCTTCTTACCTCCCAGTGAATAAATTTGCCTCAATTTAAGAAGTTCTTTATGCCTCAGTTTTTACACAACAGATTTATTTGTATTCAGGAGCTTCCCATGAAGAGCGATGTTTGTTTTCTCTTTTTCCAGCAGGATCTCAGAATTTTGGATTCCGTTTAAGACTGCAGCTTGCAAACATTTCTGTCTCCTCTCAAGTACTGACTGGTTGCATGTTCTCAAAGGACCAGTTTCAGACAAACTGCTTACACAGATAACATCCTCTCTGAAGACTGCTACATTTCCATTTCAATGCCGCTGCGATTTTGTTCTTCATCTGGGGTCTCTCTTCTAGCACACACGGCACCAGCGCCGTTCGTACTTGTGCTAACATGCTTTGAGTTGGATTTTCTCTTTGTAGAAGCAGCAATAAATTTTGGGTCACGAGCGTGTTGCTGTTCCTCTAGGGAAATAAAAACTGTACTAACAGAAACCCCAGCGAGGCTTTTTCTTCTCCGTGCAGTGTCTCACATTGAATGACTTGCAGCTACTCCTCTGAGAGTCCAATTCTCAGTAGTAGTAGTGTGATACACTGAAGGAGTCTGAGGGCTGTGTAAATAGGGGCTGCTTTTGAAAGCAATCGGTTTAAACTCAGTGCACTAGGCTGCAGTTGCATAAGTTAAAAATTAAATTCTGGCTCTCCTCTCTCTATTGTTCTCTGTGCTCAAAGGGAAAAATATTCTTCTGAAACCTATAGCAGGGAAGGGAGGGCCACGCTTCAGCCAAACAACGTGACCGAAATCTAAAGGTCAGTTTTCCTGCAGAAAGCAGGAAAAGCAAGCGAGAGACATGACAACGATTTTGAGAGAGCAAGTTGCTCTCCTCCTTCAATCGCCTGGAGCACAGTCAGGGAAGTCCCTTCTCCTGAGAGAAAAAGGACATGGGACAAGGAAATATATATTTAGTGTTTATAATATATATATTTCTACACTGTATGTAGTTTGGACTCTCCTGTATAAACTCTGGATATTCTTCAGGAAAAGTGCAAGGCCTCTGGGAGTGCCTCCCCTCAGTAACTTTTCTGCCATCTTGATTTTTCCAGGGCTAACCCTAGAAACACAGGCTCCTTTTCCAGGAAATACCCACCTATAAAATGAAGCTTCCTCTGACATGTGTCATGCTACAGGTTCAAACACACCCTGTGGCTATCGTGGTAGCTTGCTCAGCTTTTGACAGTGTGTAAATGTGTAATGGGCATTCAAATAAAACCCCCAAGTCTGTACAGTCAAAATGTTAGCACAGAAGGACAAAACTTATGAATTCCAATTCCTTATTTTGGCCATTTTTAAGTTCACACTTACTTCTTCTCAATCTTTCTCTGCTTTTTGCCTTTTTAACTAAGATTTACATCAACTAAATTCAGCTCTGACAAACTGCAGAGCTGTAGAACTGCTCACAAGTTCCCTCTAAGCAGGATGTGGCAGCAGTGACGGTGTCTCTCCAGCAGTAAAGACTAGTAGAAGCCAAAAGAAAAATCACTGAGTCCCTCCTCAAACAGTAGTCTCGGGTATGATGAACATCCTGCTGGTCCTGAGGCTGACCCAAAGCAGAATACCAAGTGCTACAATTAATTATCACCTATCCTGCAGAACAGGAAGGTCCCACGTAACCTAGTGCCACCACCTGAAGTCACAAATGCCTCCTTCTCAGAGGCATGCCATTAAAAGGCATCCTCAGGAGCAAAATATTAGTCCCTCAAAAAGTTCCTGACAATGTTTTAAGTCTGAATCCACAATTTGACCTACTAAGCTTGCGAAAGTCCCAAGCAATTGGTGCCGCTCGAGATTGTTAAAGCTAATGCCTAAATTAGGCAAGAAATTTTCCTTTCCCCTCCCTCTCTCCAAGCTCGTAATTAATTGGACAAAGCAATCTGGGTGCAGTGTTTTCTTTGCTATCATCCAATGGCAGGATGCAAATTCCCACGTGTATGTACAGAGAAGTAAGTCAAAAGCAAGCTGTTAACCAAAAGCAACGTCTTAACTCTAGCACAATTTGGGTGGTGGCTAGAACATGTAATGGGCATGTGGGCATCACCAGTAGCTCTCAACAGCAAGTAGAGATTTACATCCTTTCTTGTCAATGTTTCTGAACACTGCATCTACCTAAAACCCTGCCAGAGTAAGGTTATTCAGCTGGCCAGGAGCTAGGTCTCAGTAACGCTGTCTGCACACCAGATCTGCTCTGCATTCCCTCCCACTGGCTTCCTGTAGAATAAAGCATAAATGCTTATTCGCAAGGAACTCAATGTACTGGCTTCAATATCCTTAAAAGACATTTTTTCAAGCTCTGTGGGACAACCATTGCCAGAGAACTTTGATGTCCAAGCTACAAATAATCCATCTGTACAGCAAAGGCTTCCCTGGAGGTCTGCTCTGGACAGTGCAGAAAACTCTTAGAGAAACTGTCTCCTGTCATCATCATCTTTAAATACACAGCAAGCTTATTTAAACTTACCTCCCCTAACAAACCTAGCGCACCTGCACTTACACAAACATGTTTTGTACCTACATACACAGCTTCCAAAACAAAGGCTTCCTTGAAATACACTTGTGACCAAACATAGGACTGGTATTTGTCACAATCCATGTCACACCACTGCAATTTATTCACCTGCCAAGTGAGGCTCCCCAGCACGAGCCTATTCTGGGTAAAATGCTACCAGCATCTTCTGCTGCATCTGTAGCCAACAGTCTTGAATTTTAACACTGAACTTGAATTTTGACAATAAAGAAGCCAGAATTGAACTCAGAAATGTAGATGAGCGGCTCTGACAACAAGAAAACCTGGAACTGCAGAGAAACAGCAACAGAAGATGCCATTACCAAAGCATTTCTTCTTCTTTTTCCTGGTGATGCTCAGAGCTTTTCCTCCCACCTCACAGAGCTCTCTTTTTAAATTATTTCTTCCCACTGACATGTCTCATTATTCCTTCAGTGCAAGACAGCTTGCAAGTCTTACTGCAGTCAGGGTTGCTAGATGGCTGAAGGTTATCCCTTTTTTAGGGGCAGAGCGTGCACAGATCAATATCCTTAAGCATAAACAGGCAATCTGCAGATGGCCACAGAACTCAAAACTTTTCACACATGAATACTTGACTGAATCAAGTGAGACTCACTAAAAAAAAAAAACAGCTGTTTGAGGCACCTGTAGCAGAGGTCACACTTCCTAGCTGGACACTTCAATTAAGAACTTCTTCCAAACCTGCATTTTGGAACCGACTCCTGTGTTCATTAATATTCTTATTTCATGGAAGTGATCAGTTTTAGCAAGCTGCAACAAAAAGAGTTAGGAAGCACCGTGAAACAAAATTTTACCAGGAATCGTTCCTCCTTTTCAAGCCAGCGTTGATCTTCTTCCATCTCCTGTTGTTGTCGTATCAACCTCTCCTCCATGAGATGTGTGGGTAGAACCTGCCCCATTCCTCGTATGTCCAAAGTGCCTGAATCCTACAAAACACAGTTAGGTTTATGCAATCTCAAAACCACTGACAGTTTGTGAAAACAGCTGCAAGAACTTACTGAGCTTATAAAAGAGTGGATTTTTAAAAGCCCCAGTGCACAATAGCAATCAAGCAGAGTTCCTCGATCTGCTTATAAACTGAAGCAGGTCATCAGAAGAACCTCTTTCCAACTGCAAACGTTTTATTTGCCTTGCTCCTAATCACCGGAACCCGAAAGATTTGAAAAATCCTGTTTTATTTTTCAATAATGTTGTCACTTCATATGTTGCACTTCAAGTTGGACAACAATAACAGTTACCAATTTCCTTTTCTTGTGCAATAATGCAACTATCCAGTTGTTAAAGCTGCAGGATATGTGTTTTACCCAAATCAAATACCCTTTTCTGTTTCAGCTGACAGGTAAATCATGTCACGAAAACACTTTTAATGCATTTTTGAACAGGTTTTTATGTGTGCCTTGAGCCTCAATATACGATATCTCAACTATATACAGCAGGAATAACAACAGCATGGCAGCAAGCTGTAATGGCAGAAAATACGACCAAATCTACCAAGAGTTACCTGAGGCAAACTGAAGGCTCGGACACCTATCTGCTCTACTGTATTTAGGGTGTAAACCTCAGCTCTCACTTAAAGATCTACCAGAGGCACAAAGAACAGAACACTGCTTAGAGAGTGCAAATGGATTTAAGACAGAAACTGCAAAAAGTGAATCTTTGTGGAAGGATAAAGTGGAATGAAAAACGTATAAAATATTGGAGGAGAATGGAATAAAATGGCAGAAGGTTAGAGGGGGGAATAATTTCATATTCCTTGCAGCTATACGCAATTGTGAGAGGCTGAAAAGCATTTACCAAGAATATAGCTCAAGAACAGTTTTGCAGACCATTTCATTTTCTGTGCCTGATAAATTACAGAGAATCTTTTGAGTACAATTTCAATACTGGATATCTTCCATGAGAGGTGTTTTTAACTAGGTAACGATATAACAAATTTTAATATGAATTTTTCCTCCTCTCTTAACACCACTAAGTTTCAGTAAAGCCTTCTTCTAACAAACTCAGGATACCTATAATCACTCATTTAGTCTCAACGTCTTAGTTAAGATGCTCAGTAGCAGTCACTTCATCAAGAATTTGTGTAAAGAGTACAAGCACTATGTCCAACATCACGTAAGAGGATTTGGTTCAAAAAGAACTGGATTCAGTCATGACTCCAATCCAACTCCAAGAAGGCAACTTAAAAAACACTTGAGAAACACACTCAATTTTCCTACAGTCCTCTCCAGAGGTATCTAAGAATAAAAAAGTGTCTTTATTGTACAGAGAGCAACAACAGGTGTGTGAGTTCACGCTACCTCCATGTTTGGTTGCCACACTGATATTTCCTGAGGTCGATGGTTCCAGGAATCTGTTTGATCCAAGAGAGAAGCCTGCCCTGGATAGATGCTGCCTGCCATAGCTGGTATCCCGTGAGAACCAGGGTAGCCAGATACCTTTAGGGAAAATGCAAAAGGTGTTATATTAGCAAACTTTCTTCCCAATATTTATATATATATATATATATATTTATTTTTTTTTTTTTTTTTCCTCAAGGGAGCAAACATGAGAGTGCAGAAGTGACTCAATTCAAGTAGTCACTGCAAGGGAGGAGGAGAAGAAACAACAGCAGAAGAAGGAAGCCAAGCCACAATATGATAAAAACTCTTTCTCTAAGACTTGTACTATGTCAGGAAGCCTACCCAAACAGCAGCATCAGAAAATATGTTTCAACCTCTGTAGTCACAAAGATCAAAGTCCTCTGGTGAACAAAACCAACCGTATCGATATATTTATAAGACCTACACATGCAGAACTCATGTTCAAGTTAATAGGAGCCATGCACACATCGCCCTGTGGAGCCATACAAACATGTACCCCCCGTGCATATGACAAGCTTAAGCCTGGAGTGACTGCATGTAATTACTGTGCCTAGCTGCACAGCCTGAGAACTTCCCCACAGAAAAATCAAAGTAGTTTTAATGAGCCTGAAGCATTCCAATAAAAACAAGGAAAACCTCCCCCCCTCCACGGGAAAAAGGACCTCGACTGAGTCTGTTGTATATGGATGTTGATTTGAACAAGTCCAAGAATACCCAAAGGAGGCTATCAGCTAGCAGAAAATAAAAAAAATTCAGAGAACCATCAAGGAGTAGAGTATCAAGAAACCCAAGGAAAGCGTGGCAGCTAATCCCTGCAATTTACAACACAAGTAATTTCATAGCTTGGAAAAATGCTAACATGAATATTATATTCCTTCAGTAAATATGAAAATGTCTAATGCATTTCACTTTAGTTTTCAGGAATTTGAGCACTACATCACATTTGAAAGTATCTGCCATCTGTAGTAACCCTACCAGGCCCAGTTCAGGGTTTGTTCTTATGTAAAACAAACCAAAAAAAAACCAACATGTTTAACGCAACTCAATGAAACTGAACTGTGTAAGAAGTGAATCAATCCCACCAGCTGCAACTGAGTTATAGACTCCACGTTTGAAAGAAAACACGCAGAGTATTTAAATTTAATACCTGGTAGTGATTTGGCTGTACCATATGCTGTGGACTCGGATAAAACCCTTCACTGGATCTTGGGCTGGGGTAACCAGGCCTGCTGGGCTGTAAGTATAAAGGAAAAGAGTCTTTTAAAAGAGTCTTTAGACAGAAAAGAGTCTTTAAACAGAAAACTAAACACACCAAATTCCTCTTTGCTGAAACAAACATTTACAGGAGGCACATCACAAAAACAAGCTCAAAAAAAAAAAATCCCTGAAATAAACATTCAAAGTTACTTACACTTCAAACAAACAAACATACATGTAAAATTAAGTTTTCCTCCATTTTTTTTGTCTGGAAACAAAAGAAACTGAATTATTTGCTAGGTATTTCATTAAATAACACTCACTCTGTACATTTTTGGGGCTATGTTTGCACCACAGGGCCTTCTCTCTGCTGGTTAAGTCCAGACAGAATATCACAGAAAAGCTTAATGCTTAAATCATGTTTCCAGGTGCAAATAGCGTAGTTTCCAAGTTTATAATCTGCATTACGTAAAGTTTTGCCGTTAATTTTTTGTTTTGTGACTGTTCCCAGCAGCAAATTCTTTTGCTTCAGTGAGAACACAAATCAAGTTTTGTTTAGCATGAATATTTACACGCGTTATTCTGAGCACTGATGTTAGTTCTGATTATTAACCCCCACGTTTCAGTCATATTCTGAACCCCAGGTCCTTCATTATACATGCTATGTCTTGCAACCCATTCCCAGCCAAGAAAAAACCAGAAATATTTCCTATTGGAAAGGAGCTAAAGAAGATTTATTGGATTATTTATTGGAGTACCGTGCTTTACCCCTTCAGGAAGAACACAATACTTTGTGCATATAAACAAAGAGGAGGTATAATTACAGAAAAACAGGAGAAAAGGCACCAGAAATTTGGAAAGCCCAGTTCAAAAAGCCTGTTTTCCTGCACACACTGAACAGATCTCCCTTTTGCCAGAGCAGGCACAGAAACTTCACACTAGTGGACGAAGCAATGCTGGAAAAAGTTTCTCAGAAGCGTACTTTTATCTTCCAAGAAGCAGTATTCTGTTATTTGTACTTGATGTTAACCTCTGAAGGTACATTTGCTTCTTTTCCTGAAAAACAATGCTGCTGGGTGTTTCAGAAGGAAAAAAAAATGAACCAAAGAGAAAAACAAAACCCAAACCCAACCTCATCATTTTGCAAATGGGCTCCTGGTGTCCCTCTGGCAGTTAAAAGCTACTTTCACAGTTCTTTGGAACTACAGAATTTTATCACCACTGCATGAAAAATGTCGTTATCACTCAGCACTTGTTATTTTTGGTTTCTAACTAATCACTGCAATCCAAGTAATTTCATAGTACAGATTGTGATAGCTGTGAATTATCTGAGAATGTGCAGGAATTTAAGGCTGTAAGTAAAAGGGAGTTTAAGTCCTGTAAAGAATCAAAACTTTTTTAATGAAGTGTTATAAGAAAAAAAGTCAATTATTACCATTAAAAATTTACTTAGTAAGTTGAGATGCTTGAAATTCCTTATCTACAAAATTCATCTTGTTCAAATGTCATTAGCATGCATATCTATATTTTACAAAATCATATTGTACAAAAAAAAAAACTAAGCAATGATGGTATTGCATACACAGTGAGAGTACCTCAAAGAGTTAAACTATCAAGGCCCTTCTACCCCCCCAAAAAAAAGGTGTGCAGTGGTAGGAGCATTAATTTCAATCCTAACACCTTTTTTCAGGTGTTTTCGTTTATGTGTCACACCCAGAGCTCTGATGATGATCACTTCTACTACGGTGTAGCTCATTCATTACATTAATTAAAGGTATTTTTAAGCCCTAAATAATATATTCTTAAACAATTTTGTAATAATTGAGTAGCATATTGTTCCAATTCACACAGTTTATCTGCTTCTGTAATTCGGTATGTTGTCTGTTTACATATACACCACATCCTGTCAATCTCAGGTGCCCAGACAGGTTGATGGATTCTTTGCCATTCTCAACTCAGAAATGAAAGCAGCAGCTTCAGTGTCCGTATTTCTTGGTTGCCATAAAGCTACCAAAATCAAATACAAAGCTAGGAAATCTATCAGGCAACAAGCTAGATGTGGGGAAAACAAATAAAATTAAGTTGCCTTCCTATGGCCGTTGGGGCAGCAGAAGGGGCCCTGCTACTACTACTAAAATCCCTATCAGCACCAGAGCTTGAGTAGAGGGCTACAGGAATTCATCACAGACTGATTAGGTGCAGATATTATTCCACATCACAGCAGTGACTGCACAAAATGAAATCCTCTGAAGTATGGACCCAATCCTTCAAAATGCAAAATAAATCTTAGGAAAAGCACGCAAAAGTTGTTGAGAGAACAGAGCGCCCAGCAACTGGAGAGGTTAGACTACCCCAACTGGAGAGCTTAGGGACGTCCAAACAGGGCAGACATGCAATGAAACTAAATTAAGTGTAAACTAAAACACATCTTATCCTTGGGAAGTAAAACCGTTGTCCAGAATAAGAAAATTACAATTAATAAATTTATACTCCGTCGCTGATGTTTTATAAATAAACCTGATGAACGTCTGAGATCTCACCAGCTAACGTTTCATAGTAGTGCTAGAAGAAAGAAGAAAGAAAGAAAAAGCCAGGAAACATTTTTGTGGCAACTATGGGAGTCTCTTGCAAGTTAAACAAACAAGAAACAGAAAATTGTCAGTGCAAAATTACAGCACAGATCAGTTCTAATAACAGCCTAAGCAGAGCTGGGTCATTTCAGGCAAGCATTAGCAGATGATGACAGAATTGGGCAGAACGCCGTTCTCAACCAACCCATCAAACCCGGCTTTGAAGAATAATCATCGTTTCAATTCCATTTCTTTATTATTATTATTACTTTTAGAAACACTCGTGCTTTGTGTTCTGATATCTTAGCTACCTTGGGAGGAGCCTCATCCGATCCTCCTGAGTCCCAGGACACCGTGACTTGTCGCCTGGATTCCATTCTCATTCGTTCTTCTTGCTGCAGCTTCTCTTCCTCCAGTATTGTACTAAGAAAAACACATCGGAGGTAAGTAAAACTCCAGCTACACGTCTAACAAACCTCGGAGCTCCCACATCTCTCAAGCCAATGAATATTACACGAAAAGAGTGAGCGAAAACTTTTGAGACCACGTTCTTTTATGTATATTGCTTCTGGAAACCAGTTTTCTGAAGAAACGCATCTGTAGGGTTGTCAGGGTGCTTTCAACAACCAAAGCAGCACCGGGCTTTCAGAAAGCTGTGGTTGATCTTGTACAAAAAAGTTTTTTGCATGTTAACATTTCTTTTGATGTGTAATTACACAGAGAAATCCTCAAAGACGATAAACCAAGCGCTTACTTGCATGAAAGCTTATTTTTCACATGAAAATACCCGATTGCTGCAAAGGATCAAAACAAACCGAAAATACATCCTTTATGGAAGCTCAACCGAGCTTCAAATCACTGGGATTTTCCCCTCTGTTAAACAAAGCAGTCAAAAAAAACCACCATCTCAAATACCATGCTTTCCTCTTACATTTCAGCCTAACCAGGAACACATTCAGCAAAGCAATTCGGCGAGACAGAAACATCTGACAGCATTCACTCCGCTTTTACACAGCTCAGGTCAGGAGGGTACATTTTCAAACAAAGCACAAGACAGTAGTAAAACTGAGTTTGCTACTTACCACTGTTCTGACTATTAAAAAGCCCGTTTGAAGTTCAACGTGATACTGCTGCCCCCACAGCAGCCTCCTCCCAGTTCTGCTATGTGGATTATTAATGTTGGATATTTGCCATTTCAGAACTGCTCAGAATGAAGCTTTGGACGAGGGAGCTGCACGCTGCACGGGACAGTCTCAAGATCTGAGCAGGGCAGATTATTGACACGTTGATCTCCCCAGAGTAAAGATAATCCCGAGAAGGAGCTACCCCAGCTCCTTGAGCACTCCAGTTTCTAGAAACAAAGCTCGGTCCTGAGTTTATAATCTCCTGCTCAGACGACTAAATAACCACCCAGAATTACTCATGCAAGGGATGAGATCAACTCCAGCAATCTATTCTCATCTTGGAACTTCGCTGCTTGTTTCAAGAATAAATTCCTGCTTGGTCGGAGGCTAGAGCTTTGCCTTTCCTCCCTCAGCCAAAAAAATTCATGCCACTTCTTAAAAGCAGGAAAGTCAGCTCATCTCAACTGCAGCCTACCCGAGTTTCTGAGTATTGCAGCAATCTCAATCCATCACTGCCGAAGGAACACAAGAATGTGGAACAAAAACAAAATCAGACCAAGTTATTTGCAGCAGTCATTCTGATAGATCTATTGCAGACAAACAGCTACAGCCCCACACAGGCGACTAAAAAGAAAATCCTTCTGCTTTACCACCTCTCTCTTCCTACAGAGGAAGGAAAAAAAGTATTTCTTACTATAACTCACGAAGAATTAGAAAAAAAGCCCCGTTTTAAGGCTTGGTCAGACTTTGGATATTCAGCACGAGTTTTTATGTATCGTGAGAAATCAGTTGGGACGCATCTGGAGCCACGAACCACAATTACAATCTTTGAAGAAATACCTCAAAACTTAACCAAAAAATGCCAACAAAACAAAAAACCACCTACACGTATGAATAAAATGTGCATTTTTATTTCTTTTTTTGTTGATATGGCAGTTGCTCTAATGCAAGCACAAGGAATGGAACAAAAGTCAGCTAAAAGCAGCTGACTAAATTTAGAGATGGCTTATTGACAATTTGGGGCCACGGGTATAATTTGTCACAGCCCAGTCCTGTTTTTCCATAAAAAGGAATGAAACACTGCTACCTATCTGCCTTGCTGTCAAAGCCATTTTATCTGTGGCGTCCCGGTATTTAATACCGTACCATTAACCTCAATCGTGTCACTGGAAATGACAAATTCCGACTGAAATGATTTGTTTTTCATAACACAGGCTCAGCTTTTTGCCTTACGGCTCTAATTCATCCTGCTATTCCTTCGCCTGTGTCATCACGAGGACCTTTCCCTCCCAGCCCAGCGAGTAGCCTGGTCAACGGCTGATGAGCTACAGCAGAATTTGTACCAGATGCCCTTGACTGCTACATACAAGAAAAGAATATAAAATAGAAATGCCTCGGAGAAGCATCACTCGAAAAAAAACACAAGGAATATAAATGACTCACAGAAACGTCTTTGTTTTTACAAAGGGAAGACCGATCCATAGACGGAGCACAAGTGTGCCAAGAGATATTTTTGACCTCTTCTCGGTGCAGCTGCTCGAGGACTCTCAACGGTTTATTAGAAATCGCAGAGGTCAGGGAAGTCACATCTAGGCATATTTTCCCAAACGGCACGTATTTTTAGCAGCAGAGAGGCATTTCTACTCGTACGACTTCCCTAGCAAACCTCGAGGTAGAACAAACAAACCTAAGTCGTCTTCTTGGCTACGTCTGATGAAAAACGTCTACTATTGAAGTTTGTGTAGTTGATAAACTTACTTCACTTTCAAAGAACCTTTTCACTCAATTTTGCCCGTGGCATTGAAAAGGAAACATTTACTGGGAGGTTCAAAGCAGGAATATCTGAAATATTGAAATGCAGCCTTACGTTTTGGAAGAGAAAGCAATGCCAGTGTTTGCTCGTACGTGGTGTGGGAACCTAGAGGAAGTGCTGACCCTTCAACAAGCAGCTTCTTTTTTCTTGTCTGGCCAACAAAAACACAAGGTTGCATGGAGATGAACACATTTTCCCCATACAGCCCTAATTTAAGAGCACTTTTGCTGGACTTTATTCCTAATAGTCACTGTCAATGATCAAAAAGCTAACGAAGTGTTGCAACCTCCATCATATATATCAAATATGTGCTACAATTATTTTTTTTGCCAGATGCCATGAAACGATGTGACTTAAACTGCCTTCATTCTTATCAGTTTTGGTCCTTTTATTTATAAGCAACATTTCAAGAGCTGCAGCAAACACAGCCACAAGAAGGCTCAAGTCCCATTTCCATCAGTTAACTATCTCATTGCTGTCATAAAAACAAACTTTAGGGGGATGAATCAGTCATTATTTTACTTTTTATATATTTTTTAGAATTGAATCTGTATTTAACACATGACCTGCAGCCCAGGGATCATCTGGGATCATCTACTCTGGTAAAACCTGTGCTTCTTCATCAGCAACCAACAGAGGGCCCAATCTTGTCACAGCAATGATAAAACTGCTCCTGATTTTGCTATTTCTATTAGAGAGAAATGGCTGGCGACAGGTACCTGATACAAAATTAATTCAATGATGCACTCAAAATGTCATGGCATGACGTTAATTTAAAAAGCTCAAAAGCAAAATCCAGTTTAACATGGAATACTAAAAGGAGTTTTAACAGGATTATTGCCAAGGGATGTGCAGGGCACCACGACTCACAAGCACAAGCCTGGGAGAAGACCTGTAAGAAAACCTTTGAGTGTACTATGGCTACCTTACCAACACTAACCTGTAGCATATTGACCACAGCAAAGAATTATTTAAATTTAATAATACATGTATGTCTGAGGTGGTGTGTGTAATTGGTTACGGTGCTGTAGGTAGGCAGAACTCATTCTGAATAGCAACACTGTAAGAGTAATAGTGCACGATTTGGGGCTGTTAAATGCTGAAATGGACCTAGGAAGGAAGGATGTGATGACTAACTCATCCTTTACCCACTCTGGACAAACCAAATACCACAAAATTTCCGGCCTTATTTCCCCCCTAATAACACTACACAAATTCTACAGCAATCAGCATCTTTGCGTGGCACAAGCAGCTGCAAGTAACGTTTGTGCAACGCAGATGTCGCGACAAAATGGGTAAGGCATCAACTAAACCGAGAACAGCTGAAATATCTGTGCTCCCATCAGTACTCCTTCAGATGCAGAAAAGCAGTTTTTTCCCAAAGCCACGGTCTTTGTCGTTAAAAAGGGAGGAATGCTACAGTGTTGTATCGTTGGCTTTAGGCAAACAAAGTCTGCTCTCAGCTTGAAAAAACTACCCTGGATCCTATCCAGCACGAGCAGCAGCCACACCACACAGAGAAGGCCACCAGGGAAATGGCTTGTTTTTGCAAGTTCATGGGAATTGGAGTTTTGAAACACAATCCTTCCTCGTTGCCTGAGATTGCCTCGCCATGCGGGATTTGGCAACCTTTCTGACAAGGGGCTGACTCTGCAAGCAGCGTGGAGAAGCCCTGAGGACGACTGTGCTGCCTGAAGTCCAGCAGGGAAAGGTCACCGTTTTGGAGGGGCAGAAGAAAACTCTTCGCTTTGTTGAGAACAAAAACTGCATGTTAGGGTTTCTGCGGCCCCAGGAGAGAGCTTGTTCTCTGAACGCTGCTTCAAGTCTCCTAGCATGACAAGAGGAGGGTAAAAAATTTAAAAATCCCCCCTTGGTGCATTTTTCATCCAGAATCAGAGAACCACTGAGGTTGGAAGGGACTCCCAGAGGTCTCCAGTCCAACCTCCCAGTAAAGCTGATGCACAGCGAGGTCAGGTCGCTCAGAGCTTTTTCCAGGCAGGGTCTGAAAGTCTCCCAGCGACCAGCTTCAGTGCTTATTCATGCACTCTGGGAAACATTTTTCCTGGTAAATGATCAGAACTTGCCTCGCTGCAGATTTTGCCTGTTGTTTCTCACCCTTTGCCTGTGCGTTTCTGATGAGAGCCAGGTTCTGATGAGAGCCAGGTTCTTGGGCATTGGTCCACCCTGTTTATTTGGTGATACCTTTTCCTTTCTTTCCTCTTCTGACTCATGCTGTTAGAGCCATTCTTGCCTTTGCTCTGTTTCTCTGAGTACAGTCTCTGAGTACAGTCTCTATTTTCTTCCAGAGGAAGAAAAAAAGTAAAGAATTGCCACTTTCCACCTAGTATCCAAACCACATTACCAAGTCCTACCTTCTCCTTGTAATCCCTACCCAGGCCTACCACTGTACCTGTGCACTGATAATATTATGGTGAGATCCTTGTGAGAAGGGTATGTCCTTCTCTAGATATGTACATTTTAAGTTCACACAAGAGCTCCCAGAGCAACAGACAATGGAACATTTTACAGAGGAGGAAAAAAAACCTTAAAAGGCAGCTACAGGAAAAGTTACCATCCAGCAACTTTGAAACAGCATCAGAATTATACTCAAATTGCCTCTTATTTTAATGACCTGTGAATTCTCTTCTAACACAAACATCCAGCAGCAGCACATATTATGTTACGAAAACAAAACATACCACAAAGCACAACTTCAATGTCAGCTGAAACTGAAGAACTTGGTAATGAATCACAACAAATTCAAGAGTGGATTTAGAGCTGTACAGTACGTACATGTTGTTTGAAGCCTTCACATACTGACTGAGGCAAAATAGATACTGAGGACTCATAAAATCACTAAAATGGCCACAAATATTAAATGTCTCTATACAACATCTCAGGAATGTTTCAAAGTTTAAATATCACCCTTGTCCTGTGGCTGGAGAAATGGATATATGGACACTGGATTGAATTACTGCAGAATAAACTGTGGTGTGAATTTAGGCTGGTGTCAAGTGTATACTCACACTTACTGCAAGATAAATATAAGGTAGTCCATCCCATTTTACGAAGGGCAGAAGAATTCTTAGCTAACTACAATGCATTTATTGCAGGCTCCACAGTTGCACACAAAGAGATACCATGGGGAACTTGTGTGCTAGATATGTAATGAAACTGACTTCCAGCAGCACTTCAAAATTTTGCTTGTTCTACTGAAAATGCTCAGATATCTAATTTCAAAGCATCTACTCTGAAACCTGGTGATTCATTTCTTTAGGAAAATACATGTTTGTACCCCAAAACTGTATACTACATGTTTGACTAGGTAATCACTCTAAATTCTTTCTACTCCTCCCCCTGCCCTGGAGAACTGTAGCATATATAGCTCAAATTATAAACAAATTGCTAGTACAAAACGGAGTTTTTCTTGGCAAAGAAAGATGATTCATATTTCTCATTATTTGATTTCACTGCCTAGTTTAATTTTCTCCAACAGATAAGGTCCAGATTTCCAAGAAAGTATCACCAACCTGGCCCCCTGGAGATAAAGCCTTGCATTTTTGACAGAAAGAAAACACTGTAATGGAAGGTACAGCAAAAAGCAAATATTTCTGAACAAGGAAATGACCTTTCAGAAGTAAAACCCTACCTGAGTTGTGCTTTAAGTTCTGTAAACCTGGGTCGTCTGCTAGGGTCGTATGCCCAGCACTTGGTCATAAGGCTGTAGAGGGTAGGAGGGCAGTTTGGAGGCATGGGGAGCCGCTCACCGTTCTCAATCCGCCCAATTACATCATTGTTCTTCACTCCCTGGAAGGGCTTTACCCCATGCATGAGGATCTCCCACATACACACACCTGGGGAACACACACACAAAAAAAAAACATTTCCTCCGTGTGAGCAAACAAATTAAAAAACTGGTAAAAGAGAAAGCAAACCTTTCCCCCAGCCCCAGCACACAAAGCCTCAATTTTAAGAGGGAAGAAAGGAGGTTTAATAAGAATGGTGGCTAAAATAAAGGACAAAAGCCTCCTTTCAGAGTTGCTATGCTCAGGAATACTACGTTACAAATTCCCAAAGTACTTGCTTTGAGTCGTACAGCCGAACAATGCAAATTCTTCTAAACCATATAGTCAGGGAATCAGTTTTTACTTACCGGCTGACAGCCCAAGGAGGGATGTGTAGTAAGATCACACACGCAGTACCAACCAGAACTATTTATGAGGAAGCATGACCCACAGCTGGCTCACAGCAGCCTGCCTTCACATTTAGCTACGCTTTACCTATTGTAAATCAGAATGGTTGCTCATATTCAAATCTACTTTTCTTTCTCTCTCTCTCTCTTTTTTTTTTTTTAAGTAGAATGAGCTGTATTTGCTTTTCCCTTTGACTAGTTCCAACTGGCCTGTTTCGACTTGCATAGTGTATTTTCACTTTGAGGGTGTTTTAATGCTGGCACCGATCCCATTTTTTTTTTTTTTTGTGCTGAAACTATGTAATAAAACAGTTTCTGTTGAAACTACGTTAAAAAGCACAAAGGGGAAAAATGGTCTGTCAGGTTAAGATCAGCCAGAATGTTCCACGGGCTTAATTCTTCTGACTGTACCAGAATTTTCTTCATACTATTATAAAACAGCTAACAATCACATACCCTTTGCTTAAAAAAAAAAACACACTTTATTTTGTGAAGAGGGTGAACGCTGCTCTTACTTAAAAGTCTCATCGTCTTTGCTCCTTTACACAGCCTTTCTTTGTTTTGTCCGTCCAGAGCAGCGCTCTGTGAGCTCTTGTTTGAGCACAGGTGATCAGATTCATATAAAAAACATGCATATTTAGGAAAAAAAGATGAAGGATTCAGGATATTCCTGAAAGGTAAGCCTAAACTTACATGTAGAAAAAAAATAAAAATACAGAGATAGAAAAGGTGCTAGAAGAAACTGGAATTTCTGAAAGAACAATAAAAACAGCTGAGTATCTAGAAATTACTCATCTTACAGTAATTAAAAACACTGAACTTCTGGGACAGGACAGTAAAAGCCGCACCATTTGGGTTCACTTACCAAACATCCACACATCACTAGCTGAGGTAAACCGTCGGAAGTTGATTGACTCTGGAGCCATCCATTTGATGGGTAATTTTCCTTTGGAAGCTACAGGAAAGGCAAGACAAGGCAGGCTGTTATTCCCACTGCTGTGCTCAAACAGCTTTGTTTCCTCAGGGAAATAATTGACAGGCAAAACCCATCTCCAGTGAATAACTATCAAATTTGTACATGAGATCTCTGTGCCACCTGGCCAGTTCTGCTGGCCATCCTTGAGAGAGAGGGGAACAGCACCTTGCATAAATATACAGGCTGATTAAGCCCCTTCTAATTTTAAGTCAATTCTTAATTCAAAACACAACTATTGTGGTTAAGAACCCACTGGTACTAAGTCTAAAACTCACAAAATCTCAGCTAGGGAGCAGGTGTTTGCAAATGATTGATCAAAATAAGGGTAGCTTGCTTGGCCTTACATGAAGCAGAAAAAAGAACTCCAAAACAAAGCATTTCCCCAAACCTCCCCCCAAAAAACCCAAAAGCACAACAAGAAACGACCGTGTCAAAAACATTCCTCACCTTCTCGGCAATTAAATCAACTGAAAGTAGCTCAGAGTGAAATGAGACAAGTGAAACCAGGAAGCATACTGAAGCGTTAAGAGGACAGATAACGGATTTTTAAAATACACGACTGTAACTTCAAAATTTATTGAAGTTTCAATTAGTAAAGACAGCTACATAATATGCACCAGATTTCAATGTTGCAGTTTGGCACCACATAGCAGGAGAAGAGAGATGGCTTGTTTTTCCCCATCAGGCACTGAAGGGCATCTCACAGCTGCTGGAGACACTTAAGCTCAGTCTTCCATGCAAAATGGGGGAAAAAAGTAATTTCAAGTATGTTTTGTATTGAATCTTGCCAGACCAGTGGCATTTTTGAGTATGCAGCATACAATAACAATGCAAACTCAAACATCTGTAGCCTTAAAACCATTTTAGGCTACTTAAATTATACCATTAATGTGATTATCTCAGGACTCGAAATTGAGAACCTTCTTAAAATTGTGAAAAAAGTACTGTGTACTTGTCCTAAAAACCAGAATGTAACCTACAAATGCAGTTCCTACTTTTTGCAACTTAAATCAGATCCTGTGATTTGTCTTCTTGAACCGTACATGTAGGAATTTACTGCCATCTACTCAATTTTTAAGCAGTTGTTAAACTGAATGTCAACTTACCTTTATAGTAAGTACTATCTTCCATGTATCGGGATAAACCAAAGTCACCTAATTTCACACAGTCAGTGGCAGACACCAGCACATTTCTAGCAGCAATATCCCTGCCAAATAGAGGAGACACTATTTCTAGTCATTTAAAAACTTAAGAGTGGTAAAACACTATTTGAAATATATTATTAAAGTCCAGAAGTATCAAACTCCCTTGAGAGGACCAAATTATTCTTCTAATTAATATTTCTAAGAAATATTCTAGCACATTTGGTCTTATATCTGAGTGTATATTATATATAGTATGTATATATATGTATCTATGTACAATATATACCATATATTGCAACTTGAACTTAAATCTTTAAGCACAAACAGAAAGTTCAAGCCCTAAATGTTTCATAGCAGTTTGAATTCTGTTTACTCTTAATTGCATACAACATGAGGCTAAAATCAGTCTTTCCCCCCTAGGGAGGAATTCAAAGGGAAGAAAATTAAAAACACATCCAGAAAGAAATTTAGGTTCACTTTCTGGTTAAAAAAGAACTTTTATTTTATAAATATTTTGTTTTCCCTGTTCTTTGCTTAAGAAGCCAGCTGCCCATTGTTTCATTTTCTGTATTTGCAAGATTACAGTTGACTAGCACTTTGAAAAAATGTAACCACAAAGCAACCACTCAGCTGAAATGTATTCCGATTAAAATCAGGCACCATCTACAAGTCAATCTAGGGCTGAGCCAGCAGGTGTCACTCTTGAAAAGGGTGTTATTTTGCTGGCAACGTGTAAAAAATGCCATACTGATATGGAGACAGACATAAAACATGTAAATGGCTTTTAGGAGTGTCAAAGTATTGCTGCTACACATTCATCATAAGCCAAGGGAAAGAAACATGAAAGTGAAACTTAAAGGATCCAACTATGTATATTAAGGCTCTTCACTCAGACAAGTGTATCTAGTACCCAGAATTACTGCCAACAAGCAATCTGGTGATCTAGGACACGGTTTATTCTATAAAATTTTAAGTAGTTACATATAAAAACACGCACACGTGTGTATATACAGGCTTACCTATGTACAAATCTTTTGCTCTCTAAGTAAGCAAGTGCCATGCTAAGCTGGTAAGCGTAG